TTATATCAAATCTTAGTATTATTGGTTTGATATAGAATTTGAGATTGTAATCTAGTAATATCTTTATTCCGATCCAATCGATTTCTTAAAATTTTATATATCCATATTTCCTCATATACTCTATTCGATCCAATTTGTTTGATATAATTTAAATTTCAAGAGTCAAAAGTATTTTTTTTATCATAATTCTATTATACACCTTTTAAATTATTAATTATTATGATTTACAATACTTTTAATGTAATTTTTTACTATCTAAATTTTATGTCAACAAAGTTAAAAATCTTATGTCCAAATTTTTTCCTATTAAAATTGAGAAATTTGACTTTTATTAATATGAAAAATGCCATAATTATGCCAATGGGTTTTGCCCAAGAAAGAAAATTGACCCTTCTATGAACCCCCATCATGTAGCCTTCTCACCAACCCCCATTTCAACTAGGGGTGGGCAATCGGTACTTCGGTTCGGTATTTAATAATTTCGGTTAGGTATTTCGGTATTCGGTTTATCAATTGTGTATACCAAATACCATACCAAAATATTTCGGTACGGTTCGGTATTTCTTATTTTGGTTCAGTACGGTTTCGGTACGGTTTCGGTTTAATAATCGCTGAATAATCAATGCTAACGCCTAACAGTGCACATGCACAATTGAAACTTTCACTTGTAATAAACTAATAACAGTGCACATGCATATACTGAATTATATTCTGCCGAACACATATAACGCCAGTGCACTGTACACAACTCCAAAGTTTGCCAAATTCTGCCCAACTCCAAAGCTGAAAGAATCAAATTGCATCTGTACACAACTACACATTACAACAGTCTTAACAGATGCAACAGTCAACAGATGCAGCATTCTTAACATAATTAACAGTGAAACAGATGCAGCAGATGCAACAAAATTAACTTAACAGTGCAACAGTTTTAACACTTAATAGTTCACACTTAAACACAGTGCAACAAAAACAGTACTAACACTTAAACACAGTGTTAATACTTAACACTTAAACACAACAGTCTTAACAGAGGGCATCCCTCAACAAAAACACTCTTTGGATGCTTAATATGATTCCTTAAACCAGTTGTTCCATTCCTCTTTGGATGAACATTATAGACTTGACCACAATGCTTGAACCTAAAAAAAATATAAATCATAAGTTAGAATATAATATTTTGATGATAACAAAACAAAACTACAAAAGTATTAAGTATATCACCAAACAAATAGAGTATTAAACTTACCACTCAAGATGCAAGTTGCAACTATACATCAAACAATGCTAGTAGTGCTTCCATTATTTTCCATATCTATAGATAATTCGACCAAATATGTCATACAAATGAAAAAGCATGATATATTATTTTGAACTAAAATACACGCAAAATATTAAAGCTTACCAAGCTCGAGTTCCTCAAGATACTTCAAGTCTTCTTCAACACTAATAAGATTGTTCTCTTCTCTAAGCCAATCTTGAACACAAATAAGAGCTTGCACACATTTAGGAGTCAATGAACTCCTAAATGAATCAAGAATACGGCCACCGGTGCTAAATGCGCATTCCGACGCCACACTAGAAATTGGAATGGCCAACACATCACGAGCCAACTCCGAAAGAATAGGAAATCTAGGAGCATGCGTTTTCCACCAACTCAAGATATCAAATTCTTCACTAAAAGGTTCTTGTTCTTCACTAATGTATTTATCCAACTCCGATTTAGCACCCCCACCCCCATTGTCTTCCTTTTGTTTCTTCAAGCTAAGCTTAGTCCTTATTTTTGATGCACTTATAACACTCCCACTAGATGTATTAGATGTGTTGCTAGATGAAGTAGATCTAGATGGAGATTGAGGACAAGATCCAGTTGAATATTTTTTTAGATACTCTCCAAACAAAGAATTCATATAAGCATACACCTCAGCATTTATTTTCTTTCCTTTTTCCTCCCCAAAAAGTTCTTCAAGTGCTCCCTCAACATATTCAAATTTGTTACGTGGATCCAACACAGAAGCAATAAAAATCATTTTATTCATCTTTTCAGGCTCACCCCAATACTTCTTGAACTTTTCTTGCATTCGCTCAGCCATTTTTCTCAAATGCTCATCCTCACTAGCTAAACACATTTTCAAATGACAAAAAAGTTCAGATACATCCTCAAAATGAGAATTACAAGTGACATAACGTGAACCTGAAACTTTTTTAGTTAGCTCGTGAAATCTTGCAAGAAACTCTATCACATTCCTCACAATCACCCAATCTAAGCAAATGATTCTTCAATCCTGTTGTTCCATTCCTAGATGAATTAGCCGCATAGGCTTGTTTACAATATCGACACCGTGCTTTCCCAACCCCATTAACCTCAAATTTATCAAAATGGTTCCAAACGTCAGACCTAGGTTGCATGGCTTTCCTTTTTTTGGAATCTTGGGTATCAATGGTGTCGGTGTTACTATCTACCGTAATAGGTAAACTTTCACTTGAACCAGCATCACTTACTCTACTTGTATCTGCCATCTATACAAAATTAAACAAATATAAACACAAATTAAAAATCATGGGGTATAAATGCATCACTTCAGTTACATGTAAATCACAAAATTGATCGCAATTTAGGGGCATAAAGAACAGGCAGAGGGAGATGTTATTGCACATTAGAAATACATTAATCATGAGGACCATTGAAAAACACCCCCATGTATTCTTTCAGATCACTTATTCAAGAAGAGAATGCAAAAGCTAAATGGATTTAAAATAGCAGGAAACGGCTCTAGTTTTTCGTATAATGATGGAAGATTTTTTAACTTTTAAGTAGCTTGCAACAGTCATGCAAACTAGTATAGGAGTTAGCTAAAACAATGAACATGAATTCCACAGTAGGTCCACACATAACTACAAACATATGAAGTTCTTATTAGAGCAAACAATATCAGAAACTCCAAAGTAGACTCTTTAAATAACAAAGCAACACACCAAAGTCAATATGCCACAAGATTTGCTTGGAGCACTTCAAAGGTAATGTCAGTTTGCACAGTCAAATCATGTTCGCACAGTTAATATAATAACGAAAATGAATTTTATTTCTAAAACAAAAAGACCCTCAATTGATACATCATACATGCATCCTTTTGTTGAAACAGAATAAAAGTAGAAACAGAATACTTGAAACAAATAGTACTCAACAGAAGAAATCAATAAATCGCTAGAAATCTTCATCAAATTCATTTCCATCGCTAGAAAATAGAAATCGCTAGAAAGTAGAAACATACCTTTGAAAATTGAAATTATCGCAAGTTCACAAGTCGCAACTCGCAACAGCAGCGTGAGTGAGGACTGGGGAGTGAGGAGTCGGAGCTGCGAAGTGCGAAGTCGGAAATCGCCCCAAAATCCAAATCGCCGACGCCAAATCGCCTAGCGCTAGCAGCAGTCTGCTGAGCAGATGAAATTGTCTTTACTCTTTAGCCTAAACCTAATGCCCTAAGTAACTAAGTTAGTATTTAGTAACCAGCTAATAAAGAAGGGTGGGCTTGGGCAGTTGGGCTGGGGCTGGAAATTAAATAAAGAAGGGTGGGCTTGGGCGTTGGGCTGGGGCGATGGGCAGTGGGCTGGGTTTTTTGGTCTTTTTAAAAATCGGTATTTCGGTATAACCGAAATACCGAAATTTCAGAATTCTAATACCGAGTCCCGAACCAAAATACCGAAATACCGAAAATTTAGTACCGAATTAGACCGAAATACCGAAAAAACCGAAACCAAAATACCGAAATAATTCGGTCCGGTTCGGAATTCGGTTTTTCGGATTTTATGCCCACCCCTAGTCTCAGCTTCTTTCTCAGCCTCAGTCTGAATGTTATTTTCTTCCTGGGCAGGCTGGACTGTCACCTCTGTCAGTTTCGTTGACTCATCCAGCTCAATGGACACTGGTATGGGTGTCTCAGCCTGTTTGGTTTCTCGAGCCCTCTCTTGCTCTACATCCAAATCTCTGCCATTACGTAGACTCACTGCCATCAGCTGCTTCGGGCCTTGATCTTTTGGATTTATCTGGGTGTCTGCAGGTAATGTCCCATGAGGACGATTGTTCAGAGACATCGAAATTTGGCCCATCTGCACTTCAATATTCTTGATAGCTGAATCATGTGCATCTACTCTCTCACTAATTTTNAACAAAAGACCCTCAATTGATACATCATACATGCAATCCTTTTGTTGAAACAGAATAAAAGTAGAAACAGAATACTTGAAACAAATAGTACTCAACAGAAGAAATCAATAAATCGCTAGAAATCTTCATCAAATTCATTTCCATCGCTAGAAAATAGAAATCGCTAGAAAGTAGAAACATACCTTTGAAAATTGAAATTATCGCAAGTTCACAAGTCGCAAACAGCAGCGTGAGTGAGGACTGGGGAGTGAGGAGTCGGAGCTGCGAAGTGCGAAGTCGGAAATCGACCCAAAATCCAAATCGCCGACGCCAAATCGCCTAGCGCTAGCAGCAGTCTGCTGAGCAGATGAAATTGTCTTTACTCTTTAGCCTAAACCTAATGCCCTAAGTAACTAAGTTAGTATTTAGTAACCAGCTAATAAAGAAGGGTGGGCTTGGGCAGTTGGGCTGGGGCTGGAAATTAAATAAAGAAGGGTGGGCTTGGGCGTTGGGCTGGGGCGATGGGCAGTGGGCTGGGTTTTTTGGTCTTTTTAAAAATCGGTATTTCGGTATAACCGAAATACCGAAATTTCAGAATTCTAACACCGAGTCCCGAACCGAAATACCGAAAATTTAGTACCGAATTAGACCGAAATACCGAAAAAACCGAAACCAAAATATCGAAATAATTCGGTCCGGTTCGGAATTCGGTTTTTTGGATTTTATGCCCACCCCTAATTTCAACCCCTCTCTCTCCCCCCACCCACCCCTACCCCTACCCCTTCCCACCAAAAAAAAAAAATAAAAAATAAAAAGCTAACAAAAGAAAACAATACATCCCCTTCCTCTCTTTCCAGTCTCTTTGAAGCAGCACCTTGTATTGCATTTTGAGTCTTGAGAGTTGAGAGAGAAATAATTAATAAACAAAGAGAAAATAAGATAGGAGAGAGAGAGAGAATATCTCTCATACTTTAACATATATTCTTACCTGATGAAATTTTCTTTCCAATCGGCATAACTTTCTCTAGATTTATCCATTGAATATTTTCTATTCCTCTATCTCACCAAAATCTTCATCAAAATCTTTACTTATTATTCCCTATTGGTTTTGAGTTTCAGCATGTGAATTTTCCCTTGATACCATATATTGAGATTTATCCCAATTTTTTCATCAGATTACCCTCAATTTGTTATATCTTCATCAGAAAATTCAGAACTGAGCCTCTGATCAATCTGTAAAACGTAACTGATTTTTATTTGTTAGTTACCAAAACTGCCCATTCACACCCTTTGGGTCAAGACTGATAGAAAAACAGGGTTTTATTGCTTAAAAAGCCTTGTCTCTGATCAGAATTTGTATCAAGAATCGATTTTTGGTTTGTGGGTGTCATCAAAATCGGATAAAGATTGAATTTTGTTATCTGGGTGTCAATAAAGATTTGATTTTTTGATCTGGGTGTTGAAAAAGATTTGATTTTTTCTTATATAAGCTTTCAGTTATGGCCAAGAGTTTTGGGACTCTTGAAAAATGGAGGGATTATTTTAGGACAGCAAATTCAGATATATTTGATATAATTGAGCATGCAGTTATGGTGGCAGCTACAGATTGTCCAAAAGAGTTCAAATTGAGAAGAGATAAAATTGCTGAAATGCTTTTTACATGTAAAGTCACAAGGTGTTTTGGTTGTGATAAGGTTGAATTAGCAGTGCCTCTTGCTAATGATGATGAGGGAAAGAATAAGAATAAGAGTGAGTTTGGTGGAGGATTTGAGGCTAAAGAGAGCAAAGCCAATAGTAGTATAGATCATCATATTGAATTGAATGTGAATCAAGTTAGTAATTATAGCTATGGAGATGCTGAGGCATTGACTGAGGAGATAGAGGAAGAGACTCAGACTCTTGGAGAGGTTCTTAGGATCAAAGATATCATTGATAACAGTCAACATGAGGTTCATCTCTTTTAACTTGTGATCATGTTTAAATTTCATTTTTTCCTTGATTCTGTTTTCTTGAGCCAACCTCTCTACTCATCTGGAGTCTGGAGTAGGGGTATGGTCTGCCTACACACTACCCTTCCTAGACCCCACTTGTGGGGTTTTACTGGGTTGTTGTTGTTCCTTGATTCTGTAAGTAGATTATGGAGTTCTTTTTTTAGGGCTATTAGACACAAGGAAGGAGAATTTTGATAATTGAGCTTAAATGTGGTTAGATTCTTAAAACTTCTGATGTTGTCTGACATAAAACTGGTCACATTTTTATGTGGTTGAATTTGAGGGCCATTCTATTTTCTATACTAGTGTTTGTAACTGGAAAATGTGATAAAACAGTTAGGACATGTTTTTGCTTTTCAGTTTCCTTTTTTTCCTCCTTTTGATCTTTTGAAGTAGTTCTATAAGCCTGTTGCTTTCTTTAGCTTTCAAAAATGTATGAAGCTACTTTAAACTTTATCTTTGATTTCCAATTTTGCAATTTCACTTGCTTGGTTGAGGGAATTCATAGTTTTGAGATTTTGATTGCTTTTTCTTTTTGACAGTCCGCAGAGGTTTATGAGTGCTTAAGAAGGCTTCAACTAATGGCTTTGTCTGTGGAGACCCTGAAGGTTTTGATCATTTGCTACTTCCAAAATTTTATCAGCCATTTGTTTTAGTTGCAGTTTTACTTCTTTAATTTCATTTCACTTTTTATTTGGGGGTAATGTAATTGTTTCTATACAGGCTACGGAGATTGGAAAGTCAGTTAATGCTCTCAGAAAGCACAGCTCAAAGGATATTCGGCATCTATCCCGGACATTGATTGAGTAAGAAACTCTCGCTTTATTGCTGAAGTAAATTACCAATATGAATCCACAGCATGGTTGTTGTAATCTGATACAGCATCCTTTTAACGTTACTCAATTTTGTTGTTTTCGCTAAGGTTTGGACTTTTGTCTTCTAGTCGAACTAACATTTCATATCGGTGTCTGCCAGCTTGCTTTGTCGATTATACTTTTGAGCTAATATTACTTTTTAATGCTTGCCACTATTTGTGCTTATAGGTTTTCTCTAATTGTTGTAATCTTGACCATATACATTGAGTACGTGATAGCTTAATTATCAACGCATGGTAATGAACTAATGATACTCATCACTTTATCCATTCAGTGCTTCGTAAAATTTCTGACTCACTTCCGTAGCCCCTTTGCATTTATCAGAGTATATGACTAACCTTGCTCCTCACCGGTGCAATTTGAGCTCTAGTTTTTGTGTTTTATATCCCTTGTTGATCTGTGCAACTTGCTTAGTTACTTTTTGGGAACCTCGTCTGTTTCTATAGAGTGCTTTAAGTTCGGCATGTTTGTAGCTTATAGCTGATCGCTTTTTTGTATATCACAGGGATTGGAAAGTTTTGGTAGATGAATGGGTGAATGCTACTGCAGCCTTTACAGGTTGTTGTTTAAACCTTCCTCTTGTTTTTTTTTTCAATTTTCAGGAAAAGAGAATTTAGTATTCCGTTCCTCTATTTTTATTTTCTCTTGCAATTCTGAACTGAAGTTTGCTTAAAGGTACTGAAAGCACTCCAGAGTCTATGAAAGTATCTGTAGTTGATCAAGAGGAGGAAGGACTTCCTTCCCCGCCGTTGGATGACTTAGCTTTCTTTGCTGCTCAGACCACTTCAATGGAGTTGTCACAAGTACGCACAGCTTCTTCTCTTCAAGAAAATTAATTATTTTTCTTTGGAGGTTGCCACTGACTCATTTTCTCTTTGTTGTTTGTGACCAATGAAGTTCTTTGACGGCATGGATGATGATGGAAGTGAGTAGAATTTGTGTCCATATTCTTTCAGTATAAGCTTTGCTATTCGGTTCTTTATTTGAATTCCCCACTAATAAAGGTATATTTCTCTGTTTGGGGATTTTATTTCAGATCCTCGAAACAGTGGGGAATTCAACGAGAACCGAGGAAATGGCAGAAAGTCGTCACTGGATAACCAGAATAACCCAGTTCGGAAGAAGCAGTCGGCTGATTTCTTCGATGCTGCTCCCAAGGAGAGGAAGGGTGAACAACAAAAGAAACAAGAAACTGTAATCAAGAAACAAACACCAGTTATGAGACCAAATAAGCCATCCGGAGGTGACTCTGGGCCCGGAAGACCGATACAACCAGCCTCAGAACAGAAGCTCAAGATGAGCGAGATGAACTTCCAGCAGAAATCCGATAAAGGCACAGTTCAAAGGAGGCCTGTGCCTACTCAACAAAATGTGAGTATCAGAAAGGAAGTTATCTTTTGATTTATGTAAACCGCTGATCTCTATCTAACTGTGCATAATTTCATTGCGTAGAAACTTAGACGCTCAGATGAGGATGCAGTTCAAGTCAAACTTGAGGCAACAAAGAGAAAGCTTCAGGAACGGTACCAAGAGGCTGAAAATGGTTAGTTTCTTTCTCAAATATATGGATATTCTAAATTCTAATTCTTCTTTTGAGAATATTGAAATTGATTGACTCGAGACTATAAGCTCCATTTATGATCTGAATATATTTTATAATTGTCCTTTAGCCAAAAGGCAGCGGACAATACAGGTTATGGAGTTGCACGATATCCCCAAGCAGGGTATCTCCAACCAAGGTCTTGGCCTTAAAAATCCTCATACGAGACCGGGCAACAATAACAGGCATTGGGCAAATGGACGTCGCTGAATTTTCTATCAACCGACTGTCTCAATAAGATCTCAGTTTTCATCCACCTTTGCAAGTTATTCTTGTAGAAAAACACTGATGACTCCTCAGTCTACTAATTTCTCAACTTGCTGTGGAAACAGAGGATCTCATCTAATTTACCTCAATAGTAGAGGCCACTCTCAAATCGGGAGGGGCACGCGAGTGTTATCTGAGTTACAATATGCTTAGATAAACATTTTTCTTGGACCTACAGGGTTTGGCATTTTTGGTCTAAATTTTTTTGATATTTAGGAAGGACTTATTACCATGTATTGATTATTAACCATATGCTTTCATAAGAATACCCTGACTGTAAATTTGCACAGAATAAGTGCATTTTCATTTTGGTCAGAACTTTTGTATGAAGCACAGAACATTGAAATATGAATGGAATAGAAAAGGCTGGTTACATTCTCTTTTTTTGGCAGTTAGTTAGATGGCTATCACAAATGACATTGTTCTATAATTTATGTCATGTTTCCCATCTATCAAAGCCTAAGGTGACAAAGTTAACGAGTACCTGTGCTAGCGGGAGATAGCAAGTAAGGCAGTCCGGTGCATTAAGCTTCCGCTATGTGCATGGTCGGGGAAGGGCCGGACCACAAGGGTCTATTGTAAGCAGCCTTACCTTGTATTTTTGCAAGAGGTTGTTTTCACGGCTTAAATCCGTGACCTCCTCTTGGTTACATGGCAGCAACTTTACAGAAATTGGTGGAAGATAGCAAGTATCACGTGGAATTAGTTAAGGTGCACGCAAGCTAATACCATTATAAAAATAAAAAGTTATGCCATGCAGTTTGTTGACTTAATTGGTTATGGATAAGGATTTGTGTAAAGGTATTCCTTTTTCTTCCCCTCTATACACGTGGGAAAGTTTTTGTTGATTGTTAGTTTGGTAAGGCTTTGAATACCCTTGTTATCAGGTAAAGCAAGTGGGGTTGGATGACCATTTTAGGTAGGGACACATTTCGTAAAGATTTGGTTGTTGCTTAGGGGAATGGTGGATGAGCAACAACAAAATGATGTGGAGTGCATTTAATTTTATTGTAATCTATCCGGTTTATATATGTTATACGTCCTTTTAAATATGTTTTCACTTAAATAAAGAATTATAGTAGTCTCAATTAAAAGCAACTTTCTTTTCTCTCTTTAAACATTTTACTTCACTAATCAAAACAGTCGGATAGATTTGAAAAAAAAAACCACTAAATGGCTTTCTTTTCTTAAAAACATCAGGTATTTTGAAGCAAATTGAGTTTGTTAAGACAATAATATTAAATTGAGTTTCTTAATGTTTGACCAAAAAGATTTAGACTTTTTATTGAATTAATTAAATAAGAAGATTTGAGGCAAATCCTAGCCAAAGATAATTTACCCTAGATCTAAGATAGAAAAGGAGAATAAGCAAACAGAACTGAACATAAGATTCAACTATAGCAATGATTAAATCCCATTATGTAAGGAAAGGATGATAATTTTCATAATATTAAATGATAACAAAGAATAAATAGATGAAAAGGGTCACCGTTCTTGAACAAGATTGATCCCCCATACACTTTGATCTAGTGCTACTAATGATGGATATTGGGGATCTAAGCCTCCTTGCTTCTTTCTCCTTAGCAGGGAGAAAGAGATGAAGATCTTCCTTGATCTGTAAACATATGTCTATCTCTGTGTGTGAATTTTTGTGTCAGCCTCCCTTGTTCTTCTTCTCACTTAGTTTATATACTAGGTATTCTCATTTACCCAACGGTCATTAGCCATAGCACCTAAGTCATTTGATTGTTTTACTGTTTGACCTCCTGAAATGCCGTAACATCCAGTTCGCCGTTCAAGCATTCTAAATACACGACCTCGGCCATGGCCGAGGTGCATGTCGTTATAGCATTATATGGATACGACTTCAGCCCAGGTGACTTTTTCCGTTCCTCTACATGCGGATTCTCGTCTGGTCAGATTTCGACCCATACAGTTAGTCCCTCCGCCTATTGGGGTCGTCTATTGGCGAGTTCGATGGGCGGAATCTGTCGATTCGAAAGTTGTGAGGAATCTGAGCACTTTACACGAGAGGCGAGTACCTCGTGGCGAGGTAGCGACGTGATGTTTCGAGAGCTGCATCAGACCGTCACGTCAGTTCAGAATGTCATTAAAACTCCTCATGCATCATTATGGCGCACGTTTTCATGTATTGCGTCATTTCCCATGCCCTTTCCGTTTTCAAAATGGCGGCGTTTGGTTTTCCCGTTCAGGGTATTTACATCCCCATAAATAAGGGAAAATCTTTCATTTGAATGTTATGCTTCCCAATCGCTCAAGAGAGACTTTTGTAGCTTTTCTTCTTCTCCTTCAGTTTCTCACACTTCTTTTTCTGATAAAAATTCCTGTGGCCGCTACCTTTTTCCCTTATCATTCCTGCTTTTCGCAGTTAAAGAGAGATGGCTAGTGCATCCTCCAACCCTAATAGAGCCGTTGGTGCTCCGGTGCCGGAAAACGATATTCCCCTACTCGAAGAGGGAGTGGGTCTGGCGGAGGATGAGAGTTTTCCAACGGTAGATGAGGTGGTTCCCCGCCCAGGGAAGGCGAGGACTGACTTCAATAGCCCTGCTGGGGATGAGCTGGAACCTGTTCTTTCTACGATGGATGATGCGGCGCTCACGGTGTTCAAAGCCAAATTGGGAATCCCTAATCACATTGAACTAGTTCCGGCGGGTCGTGACATAGTGCATATACACCGCCTGGGCTACTGCGTGTTTTACGCATATCCATTTGTCATTGGATACACGCTTCCCCTTCCCTCCTTGACGGTGGACTTTTGCCGCTTCTACGAGGTGTGTCCGGCTCAACTCTCTCCGTACATATACAAGCTCTTCCTCATGCTTATCAAGTATGCGGAGCTGGCCGATCGGGGAATTTCTCTACAACACATGCTTCACCTCTTCGCCCCCCATTTTCATTGGGGCACGATGATTCACCTGCGTCACCGAGGAACCAAGGGTTTGGTGAAGACGGATGACAAGGCCGATCACCGCTTTTGGGAGAAATTCTTCTACGTACGAACAGAGCACGTGGTATCGAACCCTGCGGGGTTTCCTGAGGCGTGAACTTTCACCCGTAGGTCTCCATTTCCTTTTAGTATGTTATATATATATTTTTGAACAGGGCTGTTGGTCGTCTCCCTTTAGTGATCGTTGAGTGTTTTCTGTTTCTGCAGCCGAGAGAGTACCTCCTTCGCAAGTTGTCAATATTCGCGGATGGGTGAGCTCGATTCTGCCCCACATGATGGGGATCCGCGAATGGGTGCCTTTCCACGAGAGGTTCGGGCGCAAACCCTCCGCCCGTACGTCGGCTTATTTTGGCCTTAGTTGCTTTGTTCTTTGCTCCGTCTTTTTCTTTATCTTATATCTTTGCTTGGTCGAATTTCTCATTGGCAGGTCAGAGAGGGGCGAGAAGGGCAAGGGCTCCTGTCCTTGCTTTCCGTCAACCGACTTTCTCTGCCCGGCCCGTACCAAGGGTAACTGTGGATGAGTGCGTCCAAAGTCTGGTTGCTCGGCGAAGAGCGCCCGCGACCGAACCTGTTCATTCGGAGGTTGCTCTTCAGTCGGACACTCCAGTTCCCACAGTCTGTTCAGCGGACGAACCTTCTCGTGGTAGTGGCGAAGAGGCTCCGTCAAAGAGGCGGAGGATAGTTTCGGAGGGGGCGTCTTTGACTGAAATGCCCTCGAGGGGCGACCCCGTTTTGGCGGTGTCTAAAGCCGGCAGTGATGCCAGCCTGAGTATGGAGGCGATGCCCGTTACGGGCGTGGAAGAGGCTACTGCGGTAGGGGGCAGAGTTTCGAGGCTTCCGTGATTGTTCTGAGCGGCCCATCGACGTCTCGGCAGGCCCGTACCCCATCTTCGGCTAATGAGAGGTTGAAGGGCGTGGTGGTAGAGGATTATGAATCCAATTCTGATATCGACCCTGAGGACATGAGGATGTTCGAGGAAGGCTTTACCAGGGTCGATGTGAGTGCGGAAGGCCCTTCCCGTGTGCTCGAAATTCGTTGGACTTTAACCTGTTGGAGGACACGGTGGACTTGATGCCCCAATTTGACCTTCTATGCTCCGCCACCGAAAAAGGGTCTTTTCGGGAGATCAATAATTCTGGTTTGTCACGCGGTGTGGCTGGGATGGCCTTGAGGGCAAGTTTCCTTTTGCTATTTTCTTTGTTTTGTGCCGTTTTCTTTCGCTAATTCTTTCCCCCCTTTTTTAGACTTACATGCTGGAGATCGAGAGTGCTCGCCGGGCTGAGACGCGGGCCGACGTCTTTCTGAGATGGCCACGAAGTATCGCCGGTATCGCAACAGGTGCCGTGAGATGCATGCACAACTTAGGGCAGGCAATAATACTCAATCCCTCAGGGAGGAGTTGCAGAAAAGGGACGAGGATCTGATGCGGTCTATCTGCAGATGTAGCAAGCTCGAGGGGCTGCTTAGGGCCAAAGACGAGGAGCTCGAGGTGGTCAAAGGGGTTGCGGCGGAATGCGAGGACCTTCAGGCGAAGGAGTTGTCTTTGCGAGCCGAGCTTGAGAAGAATGCCACTGGAGTTGCCAACCTAAGTGCAGAGTGGACGGAGAAGGTGGCTGAGTTAGAAAGGAAGGTGGCCGAGTTGGAGAGGGCCGAGGGGGCCCATGTGGCGACTTTAGTGAGGGCACCGATGCTGGAAGACACTATCCGCATCCTCAGGTCTGAGTGGGAAGCCGAGAGGGCGACAACCTCACTGAAGGAGGCAAGGCTCGAGGAGCGGATCGGTGAGCTCGAGCGAGATGCCTCAAACCTGGGAGACCAAGTTGTGGCTCTCGAGGCCGAGAAGGCACAACTGTTGGCTCGTCCCCCTCTCAGGAATCTGCCTCTGTTGCTATCCCCCACCATTTGTACGAGCTACAGGTCCATACTGAGGCCCAACAATATATATACAAGGGTTTGTGGGTCCGCTTTTGAAGATGCTCGAATTAAGGCACGCGAGGCTCTTCTTGCCCGCGGTTATGACCCTGCGACACCGGAGACCGGTGGGGGTGCTGAGATTGAAGATGGGCTCTTTTCTGATAATGACAATGCTGACGAGGACAGTGGTGGAGATGAGACCGAGTGAAGTTTTTGTAGCTTTTAGTACTTAGCTTTTTTTTCTTTTGTTGTTGCTTGTTTTTGTTTTTATGGGGGCACGCTTTCGGCCTTTTGTAAGACGTTGTCGTATACGTATATATCTGAATAAGATAGTTGGTTTGCCTTTGGTGGAATATCTTTTTTTGAAAAAGATCTTCAGATTTCCCCGTGATGATTCCCTCACTTTTAGTTGGGAATTCGCACGTGACGAGTCCCTGACTTTCTCTTCATTTCGTTAGTTCGAGCAGGGTCGAACCTTACTTTGTTAGTTTGAGCTA